TCCCTCCCTCTCTCTCTCTTTCTCTCTCTCTCTCTCCTCTCCCCCTCCCAACTTTGGCTATCCCTGAATTAGCTCTTGTATACCAGGCTGGCATCGAACTCACAGAGATCCACCTGTCTCTGCTTCCTGAGTGCTGGATTTAAAGGTGTGTGTGCACCATCACCTCCTGGCTTCAGCACTGGCATCTTAAAGCTGACGCTAGGGTTAAGGCTAAACGGGAGGTGGCCCGCACTGTGAAACACTACACACATTGCTGTCTGGATCTCTGGGCACCGGATACACAAGTCTGTTACCCACTGCGCTCACTGTCCACACAGAGGAAAGTCACTTCACCACGACAGGAAGCCAACGAAGGCAGAGGAGGAACCGCCACTGCAGCAGGAACTCTGGCATGCAAAGCTGGCCTCGGGTGGATACCAATAAATATATAATGAATTCATAGAAAAAAGAAACTTCTGATTAGAAGGAAAAATGTTTAATTTTGAGATTGAAGATTGTATGGTGAGAAAAAGAGGCAGTCAGGTTTCTGTGCGTTCAAGGCCAGCCTTGGCTGCATAGAGAGTTCCAAGACACCAGTCTTACGTAAAATTAAAAATTTTAAAACTACCATGGTCACACATGCCTGTAATATCTGCTGGAGTTTAAGGTTATGGAGTTTGAGGCCAGCCTGAGCTGCGTGAGATTCTCTCTCACAAAAAAAAGAAGAAGAAGAAGAAGAAGAAGAGGAGGAGGAGGAGGAGGAGGAGGAGGAGGAGGAAGAAGAAGAGGAGGAGGAGGAAGAAGAAGAGGAAGAAGAAGAAGAAGAAGAGGAGGAGGAGGAGGAGGAGGAGGAAGAAGAAGAAGAGAAAGAAAGAAATTAAGAAAACTAATAAGTTAGAAATTACCTTTTTTCACATCACAGTTATTTAATGTCAGTACATCATCATACAAAACTTTTTGTTTCTTTTCTGTGTTTTGGGGTAAGTTCGGGAGAGCAGTAGGGATATTCCTGTGGGAACAGGGCAGTCTGGGTTCAGGCCACTAACAGAATCCCAGTGTGTTAGATTCTCAGACTTCCCAGATTAAGAAAGAAGCAGCTCCTCTCAGATCCTCATCTTTCCTCCTCTTCAGAACCTCAAGGTTTGCACCAGGTAACTGGGCACAGTAAAACTTTTGCTCAATCCCAGTTTTCCCCGGAAAATATACACATCACAGGGAAATCCCCATTCCTCACAAATAGCACAAAAATTGCAGAGATGCTGAGCTACTGGGACCCAGGTCCCTAAGGATGGCTGGGTCCCTGGGCTGAAGGGCCGCAGAGATTTGTACAGAGGTGCTGCCTGGGTTTATCACTGAGTGTTAAAAGCATCAACAGGAGAGACTAGCCTGACTGTCCTGCCAGGCCTGGTTGAGATGGCTTCCAGACGAGGTTTCTTTACTGTGGTGTGGGAATAAATCAAGTGGTAAGGACATCTCTGTTTAAAGACGCATTTCCTTACGTCAGTCCTGCACCAGTTCCTATGAGGTGAGGCAACAGTCCCTACCTACGTCCCAGGACTGGCAGAATGCCTGCAGCTGTGGGTGAAATAAACACCGGACCCTATGTGGGGTTTAACTTACAAAACAAAGGACAAGTGTGAGGTTGGCACTGGGCATTAGAGTTCTTCCTAAGCGTCACTTGGATGCAAACGCTTTGGTACCATGATCCTAGGTAAGATGAACCAAGACAGTGAGCGGGAACTGGAAAGGCAGTATAAAGCATGGATGCACAGCAAGGAGGTGATTCCCAAACATGCGGAGGACAGCAGGTAGTGTGAGCCTTCACCACAGCCTCCAGCATGTGGTTTGTAATTGTAATTTCGCACTTCCTTATTTGTTGTTGTTTTATTTTCCGAGACAAGGTTTCTCTGTATAGTCCTGGCTGTCCTAGAACTTGCTCTGTAGGCCAGGCTGGCCTTGAACTCACATGGAGTGACCTCTTTATCTCTAAGATCTTCCACTTACTATTTTCAGACCACAGCTGACAGGAAGTGGCTACAGACTTGAGAAGTGAAATCACATACACGGAAACACACACTATTGTCCCGAATGGCTACCACTGTTGTCATTGAAGGTGTAGAACTGTCTCTGCCTCGCTTCTCTTGGAACTGAAGGTGCCTTCGCGCATTAACCCAAGGTGTTAGGGTGTAGCTGTGATGTACTGGAAGCCTGCAATGTGGCTTCCATGGCTCCTCTCATTCCCAACACTCCATTATGGGTGGCAGCGCTGTGTGGAGGAGTCTGAGCACAGGGGCAAGGCATGCTGGCCTCACCTTTAATCCCCACCCTTGGGGATTTCAAGGCCAGCCTGGTCTACATATCTAATTTCAGTCCAAACAGAGTCATATACTAAGACCCTGTTTCAAAGGAAGGAAGGAAAGAGGGAGGGAGGGAGGGAAGGAGGGAGGGAGAGAAGAAGAGAAAGAAAGAGAAAGAGAAGAAGAAATAAAAAATTCAAGCACTTCCAAAGAGGCTGGTACATCTTGTAGTATTACTTGACGTGGGATGTCCTTATGTATATGTGTTGCTTTTATTGGTTGATGAATAAAGCTATTTTGACCAATGACTTAGCAGAGTAAAGCCAGGTGGAAAATCCAAACAGAGATAAAGAGAGAGAGTAGACGGAGTTGAAGAGATGCCATGTAGATGCCGAAGGAGAAAGATGCCAGGGCATTACCAATAAGCCACATCCTCGTGGCAATACATAGATTAATTAAAATGGGTTGATTTAAGATCTAAGAGCTAGCTAGGAACATGTCTGAGCCATTGGCTAAACAGTGTTATAATTCGTTTCTGTGTGATTATTCGGGTCTGGGCAGCAGGGAAACAAAAGTCTTCATTTACAAATTCTTCCCAATTCTTAGAGCTGGGAAATTTCAGTAGCAGGTGTGGCGTGTGTTGTCACAGCTCTTGAGGGCTGCTGGAGCAGGACAATCCAAGCTTTCTAGCAAGCCAGAGAGAGTGCAGAAGGTGGGGAGGAAGGGGAAGAGAAGGAGAAGCTGACAGATGATCTTAATTGCAGATGTGGAAAATGGCAGAGTGTGTCTGGTAGGGAACTCGCTTCCGATTGGGGTGGTTGAACAGCTGGACTCTGCTTTGGGAAGAGCTGACCAAGCATGTGTATGGAGAAGACAGTTCAGCCTGCCTATTCTGTATTTACAGCGGCTTTCCCAGCTGCCGGCTCCCGAGAGGAGGAGCAACCTCCACCGGCTGCTGAGTCCCCGAAGAAGGAGCAACCTTCTCCCTATCTTGAACAGTTGTGTGTTCTATGGGTGGACCTAGGAAACACCAAGGTAGATTCCTCACTGGTGCTGATAACATGACCTTCACTGCAGGGTCTTTGTTAACTTAACTCTTTATGACCGACTTATCCAGCTGAAAACCAAGAAAAATGATGCATAAGTTTAACTTATTTTGAAAAGACTCCACGCCAGCCTCGTGCAATTTGTTTTTATAAATACATCGTGTCTAGTGCCTTAGTTGGGGTTTCTATCGCTATGATAAAGCACCATCGGTCAAATGCAATTTGAGGAGGAGAGAGCTTATTTTACCTTAGAAGGTGGAAGTCCATCACTGGGAGAACCCAGGGCAGGAACTCACAGCAGGAACCTGGAGGCAGGAACTGGAGCAGAAGCCATGAAGGGGTGCTGCTTACTGGCTTTCCCTCCATGGCTTGTTCCCTCTGCTTTCTAAAAGTACCCAGAAACCCATGCTCAGGTACGGCACTGCCCACATAGAGCTGGACCCTTCACCAATCAAGACAAACCCCCCACAGGCTTGTCTACAGGCCAATATGGAGGCATTTTCTCAACTGAGTTTCTCTTTCTGGATATGTCTAAAATCGTGTCCAGTTGACAAAAATACAGCCAGAACATCTATAAAACAAAACTAGATTGCCATGGAAGAATAAATAATGTGGGGGCAGAAAGAAGGATGAACAGACATGGAAATAGTCATAGGATCCATCCAGCAGATCCAGATATTAATTCAGGAAGACAAAGAGAAGGCAACCAGGAATTACACACAGAACTGAAGATTTATCATGGAAAGGCATCTGTTCCCAGAATGGAGCACACCACTGATCGCCCAGTACAGGAGGTGAAAATCAACTTACGCCAAGGCTTATCATTATAGAACTTTAGAATAACGGAAACTCTAGAAAGACGTGGAAAGTTTTGCCAGTTTAAATACCAAAAGGCAATGGGAAGAGTCCCCTTGGCTTAAAATTCACCTGCCCACTAACAGCAAACACCAAAGGCAAGAGCTCCATGAATCCTTGAATTCTATTTTTTCAAGGAAAACATACTCAGATAAAACTCTATACCTATGTAAACTGTGGACACCGTGAAAGAGAAATATAAACATTCTTTAACATTATATAAAGGTTCAGTCTGGACATCTCATATGCTCTGTCTTAGTGAGCCCTAGAGGAATGTTTTTCCAGAATTAAGGAGGAAACCTAGTTAGAAGACACGGCAACCAAGAAACCCAGAAACTTAGACAGGAGAGGAAATCCTAAGAGGATCTCAGACCACAATTGCCCTAGAGAGGGGTCAGTCCACCCGATCCCAGACCA